CCTCTACAAAGTCTAATCTGAGCCCTTAGTTTGAGCTAAGTGTTCTTGTAATTCCAACCTATAAACACATAATAAAACTGTTCAAATGATGTTGAAGATTCCATGAACCCAGGGACAGTGCCTTATTGATTATTGTATTCCCAAAGCTTAGCATAGTGCCTGGTACATAAGAGGTTTTCAATAAATTCTAGGCTGTTGCTAGAATAAAATTAAATCAGAAGCAGGCAGCATTGAATTGGTGATTTCATTTTTTAAGTAGTATTAATTGCCTGCCTATATGGACAATAAAAGCAACAGCAACAAAAATATCCTGCCAATAAATTGGTCATTTTACTAGTTGCCTTGAAGAGCCTTGTAAATATTATGGAACATGTTTCCTATTCCAGTATGAGCCAGAAAACTAAACTCGGTAACTTCATGTGAAGCATCTTCAGTTCTTTTATATTCAGAACCATTGGAGTGAGACATGTTAAATCAGTCAAATGAGAAATTCCTCATTTCCACCTTTATGTATCTCCTGGGTTTTCCCTTGTTCACCCAGTCACCTGCAAAAATCATCAAATGTTCAAATTCATAGTATGTGACTCAGTGACCCTGAACCTCTTGGTGGCCTGGAGTGAACATGGAATGCTCTCATTTAGCACCTGGAACTCAGTCAGATATTAGTTTTCCTGCACTGAAATCGTCTGATGCCAGTGAAGAGGGAAGTCAGAAACAGAGATCAGAAAATTCTGGCCACCCCCTCGCAATATGATGACTGAGTCACTGACAGAAAGGGGGCTGGAAGCTGAGTTTCTCTCGCCTAAGTCCTTTTATGCCAGTTATTAAAATTTGTTACTTCTCAGAGCTATGGAATTGAAGACTACTTCATTGAGATGATGAAGAGTTTAGACTCTAAAATGTCCCCCTGCATCTCTGTCAGGCAGTGTGAGCCCCAAATGGGACAGGAGTCAACTTTCTGATGTTCATACTCTGTATAATGCATGTTCCACCCCAGAGACTGAGTTTTCTGTGCAAAGAGCTATGCCAATCCCTTGAAAATCCTTGAGTTGCATGTTTCCTTGTTTATGACTTCTCCGTATAGTCGGTTCTGCTTCAACTCATTTGAAAGGGACATCTGTTGGATGATTTGACGTGGTATCTGTGTTTGCTGCAAGTCTGCTCTGACAGGTCAATGTAAAAGAACCCGGGGAGGGAGAGCTCAGTCACATGCTGAGTGGCTCTCAAGTGCAGGAACAGATTTGAGAGGATTATCCAAGACAATGACTTCCAGATCAAACTAGGCCATGGAGTTAGCCACAGGGCTCTGCAAATTCTTTGTGGCTCAGTCCTCTGGGGTGTCCTGTCACCATGCTTGCCAATAATGAATTTTACTTCCATGCGGGAGCTTTCAGGTCTTCTTGACATACTTTAAAGCCATATGCATTTCAGTCACTTCAGACATCATCCTGCTCCTTAACTTGAAGAACAGTCTAGTAAGTCAGTGAGGTTTGCCACAGCATCAAACCTCCTTTTAAATCCACATCTATTGAACAACTACGATTCTGGATAGTTGACTCATGAGTATTTCGTGCTAAGGAATAATGGGGGTAGTCTGAGGAAATTAAATCCACACAAGCAATTCCCAAACTTTATTTCGTTCCATGTTTGAATACTCTCTAATGCCAAATGTTTTTACCAGACCTGTAACATATAGCAAAATCAGCTGATATGACTGTCCTTTTCTTTCTTCCTTCATCTTTCACTTCTCTGGTGTGGTGCTAACTGTAGAGAAGTCACCAAAAAGAGGTGGCGAGAGAAAACAAAAATCAAAGATCACAATCCATTTTTCTCTCCCCTGGTAATCCTATTTCTAAGGCAGTCACTGCTTCTCAGAAAGGTTAAGCCCAGCTCAGTCAGAGGTGGGACTGGAAACCTTGGTGACACTATGACACATGACAGACCTATCTAAATAGACAGTCAGGTTACAAATAGCTGGCTCTGAATATCTTCTTTAAAAACGTCTATTCTCTTGGCATAATTATAAGACTGAATCCCCAGGAAAGCCTGCGTTGAAGCACCACATTGCTTAAGAGTATGATATTACCTTGCATAGTTTTATTCTCCAATATTATGGAACGATGTAAAAAATATCCAGCTGCCTTGTGAAGTCTAGAAGGAGCCAGAGCTACTGTTTCTTGATAGAAAGAGTAACAAGGCAGCCCTTCTGAGCCCTCTGAAGACCCTAAATTCACACCTCCCAACTACCCAAGTGGTATTCTATAAATAACTGGATTCTGGTCTATAGAATTGTTTCTACATATGAAAAAAATCAGTTTTGGAATATGAGTTACCACCAGCCAGATTTCTGTTCATTAAATACCTACCAGCACCAGACTCTCCATTAGATACATCACCGGTGCTCTTTCATTCAGTTTTCACCAGGAAACTTGTAAGTCTTGTGCACATTTTACAGAGGAGGAAAATGAAGCATAGGGGGGATTCAGTAACTAGTCCAAGGCAACCCCTATATCAAGTGGGGGAACCTGGAGTGGAGTTCAAGTCTGAATGAAGCTTCTTGACATCAGAACCTTTTCTCTGTTCTGCTCATTAAAGTGTCCCCAAATGCCTGGAAGAGTGCCTGGCAAATTGTAGATACTCAATGTACATTTGACAAAGATTCCAGCACATGTACTCCTAACCATTATTCTATACTGTCTCACCTGGGTCTTCACTCCAGTCCTGTGCCTGCCTCTCTCTCTCACCGTCTTTCAGAGGGAGATGGAGGCCAGGGCTGCATCAGCCTGCTGTAGGAAGCTATGCATCTGTAGACATTCTGCTGGAGGAACACAGCAGTGGTCAGGAAGTTGTCTCCCCAGGTCTGATAACCTCCTTCCCTCTCTCTCTCTCTTCTTTCCTCTGTCCCTTCCTCCTTCTCACTACGATTCTCTGAGTCCTTGCTATGTGGGCTGAGCATTGGAGATTCATATGAACAAAGTCTGTCCTCACACAAATTATTGGTTAAATTATAGGTAGGATGAGTGCTTTGACAGAAAGTTTGAAGGTGTTATAGAAGCACACAACAAGAGAACCCAACTTATACTTTGAGCTCAGGGAAGACCTTGGAAATTTAAACTTTAAGATGAGACATAACAAATGCTGGCAAGGATGTGGAGAAAGGGGAACACTTGTGCACTGTTGGTGGGAATGTAAACTGGTGTGACCACTGTGGAAAACAGTATGGAGGTTCCTCAAAAACTTAAAAGTAGAATGACCATATGATCCAGCAATCCCACTTCTGGGTACATATCCAAAGGAGATGAAATCATTATCTCTATGAGATGTCTATATTCCCATGTTCACTGCAGTATTATTCATGCTAGCAGAGGTATGGAGACAACCTCAGTATCTGTTGATAAGTGAATGGATAAAGAAATTGAGCTATATATACAATGGAATATTATTCACCCTTAAAAAGATAGGAAATCCTGCCATTTGTGGCAACATGAACATGGAGGGCATTATGCTAAGTGAGATAAGCTGGACAGAAAAACAAATACTGTGTGGTATTGCTTAAATGTGGAATCTAAAAAAAAACGTCAAAGTCAGAAACAGAGAGTAGAATGGGTGATTGTTAGAGGTTAAGGGTGGGAGAAATGAGCAGAGGTTGACAAAAGCATACAAGCTTTCAGCTATAAGATTAATAATGTCTCAGGATCTAATGTATAATATGGTGACTATAGTTGATAACACTGAATTGTATAATTGAAATTTGCTGAGAGTAGAACTTAAATGTTCTCACCCCCCACCCTCCCATAAAAGACATCTATGTGAGATGATGAATGTGTTAATTCAATTCTGGGTATCCTTTTGTAATGTATACATATATCAAAACATCATGTTGTACACTTTAAATATTTTACAATTTTGTCAGTTGTACCTTAACAAAGCTGGGAGAAAAAAAGAATGATGAGAGTTCTCAAAGGTTAGCCTGGGATCCCTGGAGGTCCTACCTAGGACACTTTAAGGGGTTCAGGAGTCAAACCTATCTTCATAATAATGCTAAGAAGTGATTAGCCATTTCCGTTCTCATTCTCTTACAAGTGTGCAGCGGAGTTTTCCAGAGTCTACATGACGTATGCCGTCACCACGGATTGACTGTAGAAGCAGACATGAAAATCCATCTGTCTTCTATTAAGCCACACATTAAAAAGATTTGCAAAAATGTAAAACAATGCCACTCTTCCCACTAATGTATTTTTGGTTTTGGAAAACGTAGTTATTCCTCATAAAATATATTATTTAGGTTTAAATGGAATCAGCTTACCATGTTATTTTTAAATGAATTAAATATTTAAAAATTTCTCAGTTTTAATTTATAACGTGTAGATATCCATAGGTAGAGGGATAGTGAAGGTTTTTAAGCAGGCTGGAGTGGTTCAGATTTGCTATGAAACAAAGGAAGGAAGGAAGAGGAGAGAGGAGGGATGGAAGGAGGTTGAGAGGAAAAGAAGGAGAAAGGAGGGAGGGAGAGAAGAAGGGAGGGAGGAAAGGAAGGTCAGTAAAGAGGTTTTGGGGAAAACTTGGTAAGCCAGGAGGTGGGGGCAGTAGGATTGGGTAGAAGAGAATGGATTTACATGACATCGAAGAAGGAGAATCTAGAGAACTTACTGTTTGGCTATCAGTAGAGAGAGAAGTTACTGCTTAAGAAGGAATGAATTCTCACAGGGGTCTTCAGTCCCACAGCTTGGTTTTAAATCCTAGTGCTACCCTACTAGTTCCATGACCATGGGCCAGTTATTTCACCTCCATAAGCTGCAATTTTCTCATTGGAAAATAGAAATAGGGATAAGAGCCACACTTTGTATGGTTGTTGAAATGATTTAAAAAAGTAAACATATCTAATGTAATAACTGGAATATCGTAATTATTTAATGATTATTAGTTTCTTTATTATTGATTATTTATGATTATTAGTTCCTTAACGTCTCTTTAAATTCACTTTCTTCCTAACCACTTTTAGATGGAGCGGGGAAGCTGTCAGTGTTCCTCAGGAATCGAATGAAGTTCTTGGCAGGGAGCGTCTACACGGTTTGTGAAAGCTTCTCCTGTGATTCCTAGACACCAGTGGAGAGGTGCTTTCCTCGACCCCTAGCAAGCTGTCTCTGTCTCTGTCTCTCACCTTGAGGGCTGTGCTATCATTTCAATTCAGTTCACTTGTGCTGTGGGCTCCCTTTTAACTTGAAGCTTTGTCCTGATTCTCTTCTTCCACAGTCTGATTCTCAGTACCCTTTGCTGTGTTTCCAAAGTCTTAAATAGCCTTGTGTATTTCCATGCCTTGCCATGTCCCCAGCTTTGCACAGCTCTCTTCCCCAGCAACCACCATCTACAGACAAAATAACTTAGGAGGAGAGTTCAGACACAGTCTTTAAGTGATTATGAATAAAAAGTGGTCATCCTTAAGGAAAATCACATAACTGGGGCCTGAGCTGCCTCCTGTGTTGTTTTTACTCTCTTTTGAAAGGCTGTTCTCAAATGAATTGACATGAGAGTTTGGGGTGGTATTTCTTTGAGGGCCTAGGGGAAAAGGGGACAGTGAGCTGCAAGGTCATAGGACCATGAGAATGTTTTGCATTTTGTCAAGGGGCCCTTAGAACAGAGAAGCAGAGCCCAGGAGGTGAACAGAGGAGAGCATGGGTCTGGCAGTCTGCCCTGCAACAATGAGCTTTGTCTGCACGCAGGTTCCCAACTTGCAGACGGTACCCATTTGAATAGAGCCCATTGTTTACCACTTGGGTGGAAAACAGAGGAAATAGGCCAATGAGTCAGGAATTTTTCTAAGTGTTTCAGAGAAATATAAACAAAACCAGGAGTTGAAGAGAAGATGAAACGGATAAGGACAAATAAGGTCTGCTTGATGTTAATGATGCTCTTCAGTCTTTGCTGAGAGCCTGTCATTCCTGGGCTGCAGATTCTAACCTTGAACCTGAATCCAATAGGGAAGCAAATTCCACTCTAGGGAGAGACTCTGACTAAAATCTAATCTCAGGTAGTTTGAAGTAGTCGATCCTCCTCTTTTCTCCATTTGAAGTCCATTTGTTCAGACTCAGGGATAAAGTTTACTGGAATCATGGACAATTTTACTCTTTTAGAGGGAGAATAGATCTGTGAACTGTGGGGTAAACCGGCTATTTGGTAGGTAAGGGTAGGGCAAAGGAGGTGGACAAGAGGATGAAAAAGGATCACAGTAGTGGGACAGCCCTAAAAATGCAACTTAGTAACTAGATATTGTTGGAATTTTCCAGCTGGATTCTTCAAGTTAATTGGCCCTGTGATAGAGACCACAATAAAGATGCCAAAATCAAGGCACAAAAAGATTCAATAACAAAATAAAAATAAAGGACATTTGCTCAAAATCCTTTCCTCTTCATAGAGGTTGAGGAAAAGAGAGAGGGGATTACAGGGTGTGTAATTTTTTTTTTTTTTTAAGTGTAGCGACTGACCAGCAAGTGACATAAGCTTAGTCTTACCCTGGTGCTACTCCATGACCTGATTTCCTGAGCTGCAGATGCTCAGACTGACATTTCATTTTCCTATGGCTCGGCGCTTAGTGTAGGAACAGTCTTTCCATTGTGTCATCTCAGTTGGGAAAAATGCATGGTGGTGATATGAATGCCACTGAAAAGAAGGAAATGACTTGGTGTCCGTGGCAAAGACTCAACTATGCTCTCCTGAAAGCTCCAGTTCGCAATTCAAACTTGATTCATTTTCTTTTTTTATTTTCAGTAGCTTTGTTTTCAAATTGGTTACAAAGGAATAAAATCCAGAAATTACAGAAAAATCCCAAGGAAGAAAATGGAAACAATCTGTAATCTAACTCCCAACATAGTGTGCTGCTGTCTATCTTTTCATATTCCATAATTAATGGAAGATTTTGTACTATTTAGTAACCTGCCTTTGTCGTCTATCATTCATTTCACAGTTTTTATATCACTGTATATTATATTCTTCCTCAACATAATTTCAAAGCCTGTAAAACATTTTTAAATAGTTCTCTATTTTTCACTGTTAATATTAACTTCAAATTTTCACTATTAAAATAATGAAATTTCATAAGGAGCATTGATTTATTTGTTATTCAACAAATATTTCTTGGGTACCTACCATGTGCAAATCATGAAATTAGGCATTATTTGTAGCTGGCAAAAGGATAAATTAAGACACAAATAGTCCATTCCTTAAGGGACTCAGTGAAAAGGGGCTAATCTTTCCTCAATGATAGTAACTGTTTAAGAGGTGCCTTTTCCTCTTCTTTGATTTTCAGGTCCCTTTGTAGTTTCTGTAAATCCAGCTCATAAAACCAACTCCTGGGGCTTATTTGGTCCATCTTCTTTCTTCCAGACAGTATTGTGTAACAGTCCAATTAAATTATCTGGGGTTGATTTGTCAGAGATTTCAACTCATAAACTTCATATAGAAGTTAGAAAACATTCAAAATAGTATTACAACGATTATGATTGGTATACTTTTGTAGCAATAAATAGAAACTGCGCAGAGAAATAGCTGAAACTTAATTCCATTATAATCAGGAAAGCAGCATAATCATATTTAGCTCAGAAACTCTGGGTTGCACAACATAACTGAAACTGGGGCTTCACAGCAGGATAGCTGGGTTTCCAACTCAAATGGCTGTCACAACCTTACTTTTTTGGGGCACTGAAATATTTTAATGCAATCATTGGCTTTTGATTCTGCCTCTGACATCGAGGCCGCCTTTATTACCACTTGCCCAGTGGGAACGGCTGGTTTGCTCATTTGTGTAGCACATACTTCCTTTGAAGTCAAGACCATGGGAGTGATTCCATTTGAATCAGTGATTTTCTAACAGCTTCAGGATCTCAGGACGCATTTCTTAATCCTAAACAGCCTTCATAGAAAATCACATCCTTGATGTAGATGAAAAGATGAAAAAAAAATAAGGATACATTTGATTAAAAGTAGCGCAATCATGGTTGTGGTAGGCAGAATTTTAAGATGACCCCCAAGACCACTGGCCCCTGGTGTGACTCCCATGATTATGTTAAGTTATATGGTAAGAGGGAGATAGTCCTGGTGGGCCAAACTAATTCCACGAGCCCTTTAATAGCAGAGAGTTTTCTCTGGCTAGGGTTAGAAGAGGAAGTCAGAGAGATTTGAAGCATAAGAAGGACTCAACCCACCATTGCCTGCTTGAAGATGAAGGGGCCATGTGAAAAGGATAAGAAGGAAATGAATTTTATCAACAACCAGTGAACTTGGAAGAGGACCTTGAGACCCAGATGAGGACTGCAGCTGGCTGACACCTTAGTGGGAGACTTGGAGCAGAGAAACCAGCTGAGTCCATCTGGAATTCTGACCTACAGAAAGATCAGTAATAAATTTGTATTGTTTCAAGCTGCTAAGTTTGTGGTAATTTGTTACTGAGCAACAGAAAACTAATGCAGTGATCACAACAACTCAGATTTTATGTCTTACTGACAGCAGATTGGTCACACATTTACCATCAACCAGGGACATAACATTTTCAAAAATTTAAATGAGGTAAAAGTACCTTGTGTGAAACTCTTAGCTAAACCCACAAACAATAGAAGGAGACGGTGTATCAAATGAAGCCCATCATATAAGCACACTTTGGATATTAATGAAAAGCTTCTATAATTTATGATAAATTAATACATAATAGTTCAACAAATGACATCATAGAAATATATTCAGGCTGTTATTAGGGTCCAGGGGAAGCTCGCCTATCCCCATCCGGGCAGCACAGGAAGTTCTTCCCGGAGGAAGGGTGATTGCCAAGGGAAGGCGAGAGGTAACTTTCCTTATGTTTACAGGCCCAGGGAAAATCAATTTTCCTGGTGCTGTGCATGAACAAATTGGGGAGATATAGACAACTGTGATGAGCCAAGAGGAGGGGACTAGCAGACGGACAAAACAACTTGGGATTTCATTTCCTCTTCTACTCCAAGTCTTAGGATGATCATCTTAGAGAAGAATACTCTTGTCAAGACCCTTCCTCAAAAACCTCCCCAGGGAATAAAAGAAGCCTCACTCACAGGGGCTAAGGACAGCATTTTATTACTAATCTAAAGTCTGAGGGACTTTAGATGTGAGTTAATTTTAATGGAAGATACCCCTACTGGGACTCTAAATCACAGGCATCTAAGACAACCTTAAGTAAGGGCTGAATGCTAAACATCAGAGGGCCTAGAATTCACAGCCTAGAAAGGGCTATAAAAAGAAACAATTGCTGCTATCATTATTACTGCCGTTTCTTGAAATCTTCATTTATAAAATCATGGTAGCAGCCGTTCCTGTCGATCTTATTAAACAATATGGTGACAAATGAAAAGATCTCCTGAATAAGATCCTTTTTTGGAAAGAACATGTTGTGAAAATGTATAAATTGAGCCATTTCTTGTGGTGTCTTTGTGCTCTGCAAAGTGTGGAAGGCTCTAGAGCTCTCTGCATCCTTTGGAGTCTTCTGTGCTTGTGGTGAGTACACCTGCTGGAGCATGTGGAGTCAAAGGTGATTGTGGGGAAAGCCCAAGTGCCTTTGGAGGAGCCCACCTCTATCAACCCATGATTGACTGTAGGAATTAAAGGGGAGATAGAGGATTTAGACCAATGCCAAGCAAAGACCAATGGATCCATGTGGGCACAAAGAGAGACAAAGCATGCAAAAATATAACTGAGCTACAAATCATTCCCTTCACCATGCTTTCACTCTGCAAGTGATTATGAAAGTAGTTCTTCCCTCTGTCTGATGGCCCTGTTCATCAGGCTTCATGTCAATGGTTCGTGCCAATCCAAATGTTTGCCTTTATCTTATGCCATCATTGACTATTTTGCGGAAATCAGGATGTTTTTCTCTTTTCCGAGATGTCCTGTTGAGCAGGTTTTAGTATGATCAAGGAAATAGCCTTGTCCTCACTCTCACTGTTCCAGCTGCCCTGGCAGCCCTCCTGGTGCATGAGGAATGAGGTCATCTATTAGTTGGGTGCTGTCTTAACCTAAGAAAGCTGAGACAAACAGAGACGTTTCTACATCCACCATTTAGAAACAAAAACTACAGGGAAGATATTTTCAGGTATAAAGCAGTATGCACAGGATTTAGAGGGAGAAAGATTTGGGCTTACTGACTCTGTAATCTTGAGCAAGCTACTTTATCCCTCTGATTTTTCATCTCCTCTGAGTTATATAAATTGCCATGAAGTTTGCTTGAGATAATGCATGACAGAGTATCAGCTCAGTAAATGTCAGTTCTTTTCCCTTCCTTCTTGAGCATCCGGTTTCAGGGAAATTTGATATGTGGTATAAGAGCTCAAAAGAATTACAAATGCCTTGTCCTATGAAGCAAGAAACTTTGCATCATTATTTTCCTCTAAGCTCAGAGTCTTCTCCTGCCCTTCCCTTCCAGGGCTAGAGTTCACAGGAATGCCAACTCGTAAAGGGGGTCCTTCAAAGCCTGAGGTTCTAAGACGGACAGCTGAAGAAGCATGTCAGAATGAAAGCTTCAGATTATTCACCTTGGGAGTCTGCATACTGTCTGAAAACAATTTAAACTAGCGTTTAAATCATTCTTGGAGTTTTTGACTTGAAAGTTTTTACATGCACATTTGGAAAGCTCTTTTGTGGGCAAGGGTGAAAAGTGTGATTCTCTCCGATCCATCCACAAAATGACATTTAGATAACTATAGCTACAATATCAATAGTGCTCCATTTAACTACCTACAGCTAATGGTAAGCATATATGAATTTGGAATCCCAGTACAAATCAAGTAGACACGTACAGACTCATTTTTAAGAAGAATGCATGTCGATGTGTGTGAGAGCTACAACTGAGCTCTTGAGTATTCCCTTCAGAGAGGCTTATCAGCATGTGTTTTGGTTTTTGCTTTTTTTGTGTGTGTGACCCTGTTTTTCATATGGCTTCTAGAAGACCCTCTGTGGTCTTCTAAAACAATGTGCCCACAGACCCACTTGGTCTCTCTGGTCTTGAAGGTCCCATGGAAGACCGGGGGACGTGGTGGTGCGCTCCCTACTAGCACAGACATTTTTCAGAGGGATAGAAGGGCCCTTTCCAAGTCTGATCTCAGCCCTGGCTCTGTCCAGATTGTGTCACAGGCTGTGTCCAGAGTGTGGTTTCAGGCACTTGCATTTACCAACTTGGTTTTGGCTGAAGAAAGAGGAGTTTCTATCATGAACACATCCAATTGCCTCATGATTCAAAGATGGCAGCAGATATGCACAATCTACTCCATCCTTACCCACTTTTCTTTCTCTCCATCTGGCTGTACTCAGGAACAGGAAAAATTTAATTTTAGCTCTTTAGTTCTTTCAGGTAGTTTATTTCTTTGCAAACTTACAAGTGTTTAATGGAACTTTTATGGGACTAATTTTGTTCATAATTACTTAATATTCTCACCATTCAGAAAAATTTCTAGGCTCAAAGTCTATCAATTGATGTGGTATTCATAATGTATACCTGTGCTTTAGCATTTAGGAAGCCAATGGTTTTCCTAAAAGAGCTCACACAAAATTAGAGTATTATATGTATTCTTGCTGAAAAAAACTTGGGATAACTTCTAAGCTAAGGATAATAATGGTAACAACGGCAAGAATGACAGGGTCAAGAATAGAAGCTACCTCTTCACGAACCCTCACATGTTTCAGGTACTGTGCTAGCTTTTTATGTGAATTATTTAATTTAATCCTCACCAAGTCCTGATTAAGTCAGTCATGTATTTTCTCTATTTTCCAGATGAGGAAATTGAGGCTTAGAGAGATGTAAAGACCTGCACAAGGTCACAGAGGAAATAAGTGGTTAGAGCTAGATTCTGAGCTGAAGTGGTCTGCTTTCAACTTAATAGCTATCCAAGAGTGAATGAATGTCATTCAACATCACGAATCATTTGGAAGATGCAAATCAAAACCACAGTGAAATACCACTTCACATCTGTTAGGATGGCTAGTACAAAAAATGGAAAATAAAAAAGCACTGATGAGGATGTGGAGAAACTGGAATCCCTTATGCATTCCTGGTGGGAATATAAAATGGTACAGCCACTGTAGAAAACAGTGTGGCAGTTCCCCCAAAAAGGTAAACATAGAATTACCATTTGATCTAGCAATTTCCCTTCTGAGTATATACTCAACAGCATTGAAAGCAGGGACTCAGATATTTGTCCACTCATGTTCATAGCACCATTATTCCCAATAGCCAAAAGGCAGGAACAACCCAATATCCATGGACAAAGAAATGGATAAATAAATACATATAATGTATGTAATAAATGTAAACAAATTTGTAAGCAAATTCTATATACATACAATGGAATACTATTTAGTCTGTGCTGATTAAGACATCTTTGACCACTCCAGTAATATGTCTAGGGGTGTGACTCTTTCCCCCATCAATTCAGTGGGAGAAAGGACCTGTAGACTAGCTGCACTTATAAGAATGGACTTGTTTCTGCTCTCAGCCTAGACACTACAATCTTCTCTCCCATGTGACTAATTAGAGAATAATCCACTTTTTCACTCTTGTTCTTTCCTTTGTTCTCCATGTCTAAAATTCCTGCCTCATCTCTACCTTCTCATCCTTTACTTTGCCTTTTTCTCCCAGTCACCTCTTCTTCAAGTTCAATGGTGGAAGAATAATGGAAGAACTAGTTATTAAGTACATTCCCAGGAGACCCTTGAAGACCCCACATAGTCATCTTGGGAATGGAAGGCACACATATATACAGGTCTTAGGTCTGTGTGGTTTACTGCAAAAAAAACAGGGATTTCTTACAGGCTCCATCACCTTAGGTAAGTAATTGATCTTCTCTAAGACTTCCGTTTTTAATCTACACAATGAGAGGAATAAGTCTCTTCAATAAGTGGTGTTGGGTAAACTGGATAACTACATGTAGAAAAATGAAGTTTGACCCATAGCCTGCACCACTCACAAAAATTAACTTGAAATAGATTAAAGGCTTAAAGATAACGCCTGATACTAGGAGTGTTCCTAAACACTTCTCTTTTGGCACTGCTCAATTCAAATCAATTTTTGCTTAAAATTTTTAATATGCTTCAGTTTATCTTTTAATAGTTCTAGCATCAGAAGAGGAAACCAAAAGAGATCCTTGATGGCTCCCCGGGAGGAAGAAGTAAGCAGGTGTGGGTACCCCTTGAGCTCACTGCCTCTGGACGGCGTGGGTAAATCCTTGGATCCTGGATCCCTGCTCCTCAGCTTTTGCATTATGTGCTTTCTGACTTTATTTGAGCATTTCTTTTTCCAGACTGGGTCTGGAAACTGGCCAGAACTGGACTGGTTTTGACTTAGAAACCAGACTGGTTCTGAGGTAGGACTGGATTCAGGGTCAGACTGGCTCCAACTTAGAAAC